GTGTTAGAATTATATATTTTGTATACATGTATATATATGAATAGAAACATTACGCAATTTCTAAAAATAGCAACATTACGCAATTTCTAAAAATAGCAACATGACGCAATTTCTAAAAAAGCAACAATGATGCAATTTCTAAAAATAGAAACAATGACGCAACTTCTATAAATAGAAACAATGACGCAATTTCTAAAAATAGAAACAATGACGCAATTTCTATGAATAGAAACAATGACGCAATTTCTTGAAATAGCAACAATGACGCAATTTCTAAAAATAGAAACAATAACGCAATTTAATTCTTAAAATAGAAACAATGACGCAATTTCTAAAAATAACAACAATGACGCAATTTCTAAAAAGAGAAACAATGAGGCAATTTCTAAAAATAGCAACAATGACACAATTTCTAAAAATACCAACAATGACGCAATTTCTTAAAATAGCAACAATAACGCAATTTCTAAAAATGGCAACAATGACGCAATTTTTAAAAATAGCAACAATGACGCAATTTCTTAAAATAGCAACAATGATGCAATTTCTAAGAATAGCAACAATGACGAAATTTCTAAAAATAGCAACTATGACGCAATTTCTAAGAATAGCCACAATGACGCAATTTCTAAAAATAGAAACTATGACGCAATTTCATAAAATAACAACAATGACACAATTTCTAAAAATAGCAACAATGACGCAATTTCTAAAAATAGCAACAATGACGCAATTCCTAAAAATAGCAACACACAACGCAATTCCTAAAAATAGAAACAATGACGCAATTCCTAAAAATAGCACCAATGACGCAATTCCTAAAAATAGCACCAATAACGCAATTTTTAAAAATAGAAACAATGACGCAATTTCTAAAAATAGAAACAATGACGCAATTTCTAAAAATAGAAACAATGACGCAATTTCTATAAATAGAAACAATGACGCAATTTCTAAAAATAGCAAACAATGACGCAATTTCTTAAAATAGAAACAATGACGCAATTTCTAAAAACAACAACAATGACGCAATTTCTAAAAATAGCAACAATGACGCAATTTCTTAAAATAACAACAATGACGCAATTTCTTAAAATAGCAACAATGACGCAATTTCTAAAATGGCAACAATGACGCAATTTCTAAAAAAAAAAAGCAACAATGACGCAATTTCTTAAAATAGAAACAATGACGCAATTTCTAAAAAATAACAACAATGACGCAATTTCTAAAAATAGCAACAATGACGCAATTTCTTAAAAAAGCAACAATGACGCAATTTCTAAAATGGCAACAATGACGCAATTTCTAAAAATAGCAACAATGACGCAATTTCTAAAAAAATAGCGACAATGACGCAATTTCTAAAAATAGCAACAATGACGCAATTTCTAAAAATAGCAACAACGACGCAATTTCCTAAAAAATAGAAACAATGACGCAATTTCTAAAAATAGCAACAATGACGCAATTTCTAAAAATAGCAACAATGACGCAATTTCTAAAAATAGCAACTATGACGCAATTCCTAAAAATAGCAACAATGACGCAATTTCTAAAAATAGCACCAATGACGCAATTTCTTAAAAATAGCAACAATGACGCAATTTCTAAAAATAGCAACAATGACGCAATTCTATAAATAGAAACAATGACGCAATTCTTGTTGTTGTTGTTGTTGTTGTTGTAAATATATATATATATATATATATATATATATATATATATATATATATATATATATATATATATATATATATATATATATATATATATATATATACACACACACACACACACACACACCAATAAATATATAATTATGGTCATTTAATGCACAAATCTGAGAAAATTCAGTAATTTAACCTTCAAGGTCAAGGTCATTAAAGAGCCCAAGCAAATTTGGGTTTGATAAACAACGAGGTCTGGTCCTTAAGAATGTTATGTTATAATATGAAGTTGCTCCCTTCAATAATAGCAGTTACCGCCAAAACAATGAAAATTTCAATAATTGGACCTTCAAAGACAATGTCATTAATGAGTGAAGATCAAGGTCTTTCGGTATATTTTTAACAGTTATCTTTAAAGATTATTATGTTCAAGTTTCAAGACAATCCATTCAAAAATAACAAAGTTACAGCCAATAATAGCCAAAAAAATGAAAATTTCAATAATTTGACCTTCAAAGTCAAGGTCATTTATGAGTGAAGGTCAAGGTCTGTCTAGTTATTTTAAAGGGATATCCCTGAAGATAATTATGTTCAAGTTTGAAGACAATCCATTCAAAAATAACAAAGTTACAGCCAATAATAGCCAAAAAATGAAAATTTCAATAATTTGACCTTCAAAGTCAAGGTCATTTATGAGTGAAGGTCAAGGTATGGCGGGTTATTTTTAAGGGATATCCTTGAAGATTATTATGTTCAAGTTTGAAGACAATCCATTCAAAAATAACAAAGTTACAGCCAATAACTGCATGAACAAGCAAATATTGGACTTTTAACCTTGAAGGTCAAGGTCATTTATGGATGAAGGTCAAGGTTAGTGTGGTCTACTGAAAGGTCTTGTCCCAAGGGTTGTTGTGGCCAAGTATGAAGACAATACACCAAGAAATAAAAAAGTTATGATCCAGGTACAAGTTTGCGGACGGAAACGGCAACGGCAACGGCAACGCCGACCTGACTATAACAATACCTCTACTTTTTCTTTCAAAAAAAAAAGTCGAGCTAAAAAAATACATAAAAACAATTACTTATAATAAAATATAAGTCATATTCGGCATCTTTTGTCCTTCACGGATAGGATATGACTTTTGTAGAAAAAGCAACGAATACAGTTTATACATTTATGGACCAAAATTTACGGGGTTTTTTTCCATGTAGATCTAATTACATTTTATTACATAAAATGATGTACCTTCTGTCCGCCATTGATATGACTTTTATATAACGTGAAACGAATATAACTTATAACTTTTTTACTTTATATGCACCAAATTTTACGTATTTTTTTGCCTGTAATATCATTTTATTATTATAAAATAGAGAATCCCAACACGACAAAATTGAATATGTTACAGGCTTGGTTTGATTGAGTCTATTCATTGACGGCACTGGAAAGTGCAAGTTACCGTCCACGCCCCACCTAGCACCGGCTTAAGGAGAATTCAACATTTAATATGAACTGGGACAATTTGGACGGCGGTTATCATGGAACTTTCACAGTAAAATTCCATGAAAAGCGGCGTATTGTTCCAAATTAAAAGAATGCGTGTGCCCTAAACAAGAAAACAATGGGCGGAACTAAATAAAATGAAATTTTGAAAGGGGATCTGAGGATATGAAGCCCGAGTATCACAGACAAAACGTCAAAAGACAAATTAAAATAGCAGGAAACTCGTTACCGCCCAACTCGTGACAGAGATTCCGATCCGAACCGCAAACATAGATCTATGTCAGAGATATTTTTTCTTGCATATTCTGCCATATAATTATTATTTCATATCAAAAATGTTAAAAATGGTTAACCTCAATAAGATTATTTGTTTCATTTCATCTAACAATAGCGTAAGAATTTACAAGTTTAAAAACAACGGCAAAATGACGTCATCCAAAGCACATAGTTCCTTCTTAAATGACGTCATTTTAACGCGGTTCATTCAATGACGTTGCTGTATGGCACGCGACTCATCTGGCGATCCCCCAACATGCCAGATGAAATTTCCGGCATGAAAACTCACGGAAACGCCAGTCTGCTATGCAAGAAATAGAAAATCTAACGTCATTTTTATTTGTTTGGGTCGTCAGACCAAACAAATAATGGTAGCGAAATTTCAGAGCCTAATGCTGTTAATTGCAAATGCCTAAAGTAGTCCACTTTTTAAAGCGGTTACTTCCCTTTATATGTACACTAACGACGAAAAATTCAGGGGAGATCAATGCGTAAAGATTGTCAAATGACAGGCGCGTTAATTTTCAAGCAAAGTAGTTCCCGAATGGTCGAATTTTTCTAATATTGTTTCATTCTTTATAGATATACATGCTTACAGTAAGCTCAATGATTATTTACATCTGTGTTTAGCGTCGAAATAAAAAGAGTTACAAACCCTAATTTAGAATAATATGGTTTTCTTCAGGTCGTTAACTTATAATTTCATCGTGGCCGAGGGGTTTGCACGCTCGCTTATAAATCGAGAGGTCTAGAGTTCAAATCCCCGTTAAAGGCAAATCATTTTTTTTTTAAATTTAAGTCAAATAAACATTGAATTGACTATCAGTGTTGCAATTAGTCTTATAGCCAATTTACTACAGTTAAAACACTGGAAAGCAATGGTGGCACTATACCAAAACAAATTGGTTTATATATAAATAATCTCACAACCTGCACCTTTCAGACATTCTGAGACCCAAACAAATTCAGCGCCTTCTGTGCTTTGATTCTCTTTCTGTTTTATTGTACTGATAAGGGGAGATCACTGCGTAGGTTTCAAGGTTTATTTGAATAAGTCAGGGCCCATATGGGCATGTGACAACATAAAACAGTACATACATACAAAATAATACAAAATGGCAAATAATATGTAAAAACAAAATACTACAAATGGCAATATTTCAACATCTATAATAATTATTATAGATGTTGAAATATGAATTTTTTTCAAAACGGCTTATATTAAGTTTTTTTGATATATATGATCAGTACATGTGCTGGGATTTGACAAATATGCATTTTATTTGGATTTTAAAGGCGTTTTGAGCTCCAAACCCCAAGTGTCTGTGAGTTCTCTTGGAATATCATCAAACCTTCCTTTTTCAATAGGAAGTTTGTGATTCATACTTCTAAATTTAAAGAGAATTAAAGCTAAATTCATAGGTAACTTGCTGAGGTATGGCTCAAAACAAAAATCCTGTTTATAAATCCTGTAATTTAGACATTTACTGGAATTATTGAAAATTGAGTTTTTATCGCAACTTTTCGGCCCTTTCCGTTCGTCTTCGGATAAGAACGATAAACGCCGAATTCCGATTAGTGTTATTAGCGGAAGTGGTATGGCTGGACGAAAGTCAAAGTATATTTTAGACACTTTAGGCTTTATTCTTCAAAAGAAATGGTACGAACTATTCACGTTATTTATTATTTCGGTCAACTTTGTTCAAAACAATCATTAATCTCTATGACTATCACTGCATATTCTACCGTACGGTAATATACTACGATTCGCCCCACTATCGATTCGACCCAAAATGACTTTTCCTCCATTAAATGATTTGCCCCATATTAGTGACGATTTACTAGATCTAGTTTATATGTATGCTTGTGCAGAATTGAACTTAAGTCATTATAATGTTGATAATGTTTCTTTTGAAAATCATTGTTTCTTATGAAAATCATTGTTTCTGCTCTTATTCCTAAAAAATTGTTTCATGAAATTAAACAATCGTGATGTACTGTGTTCCAGAGCTGGCAAAATCTCTGAACCTATTTCTTGTCCATGGATTAGGTAGCTTACAAAATTGACTTGTCTTTGTTTGAAGTTCACTTATCCATATAATATGAAAAAGGCAAAGCCTCAAAGCGGGCTCAATTTTCTTTTACCGTAAGATAGTTTAAAATAAACGTTCATTTTTATTTTACATTTTCTGTTTTAAAATTGTCATTCGATATTTTATACACTGCTTCCGTTTATTCTGGTTCCCCCTTTCTATTATGGTTCCTATATAAGCGCGCAGGACACCAGTCTATGCTTCCGTTTTCAATCAGAGTACATCAACTTTTATCGTTATCTTGTAATTTGAAAAGTTGCAATGTGTCCAATTCGGTACTTCGGACGAAAGTTTTTTAAACCATCACTTAGCAGGTACTCGCTTTTACCGTAAAGCTCGCTTTGTGTGCAGGCCCTTTGGGCCAGTTCGTCGAGCTCGCTATTATATTTGATAATTTTATATGTCACATGATTTGGTAAAGGGTCAACTCGGCCTTATACCAACTTGGCACAGGTCAACTCGGCCCTCTATTAAAAACATATATTGGGATATAGATTGTTTAGTTAATAGAATTTTTAAGGAGAAAATTACTTTAAGGTTTTTCAGAAATATGATCACTTACAAACAGAAATTGAAAAATTTGGCAGTGTACCTGTACGTATTTGTTTGAAATTATCTTTGTTAAGAAGAGAGATCAAGACAATATATGTTAAATATTGATCAATAAATAGAGTTTTAAGATTGAATTTTTGTGACAATAAATGTAATTGTATTTAAAACAGTTTGTTCTTTAATACGACCAATGCTTTTTTAACGATATTTTTTACAAAAATATCGTGAGTAGCAAAACATGCGTATCAATTGTAAATTCTTTCTTTCTCTACAAATTCACATACAAATTGGAACTTTCATCAATAAAACTTTTCAATATCCTTGAGTAGAGGTCTGTTGATGTGAAAATGTTAAACCATGAAAGTTATGATTAATATCAAAAGTAATAAAAGTAATCATTACCAGTAATATATAATTATATATATGGGCCGAGTTGACCTGTGCCAAGTTGGAATAGGGCTGAGCTGACTCGAGGGCCAAGTACGTTTAAGGGCCAAGCTGACCCTGATTCACATGATTTCAACTCAACTCATCAAATTATCAAAGAATTTAAGATATATATCTATGAAAAACAACTTGTAAGATAATTATTGAAATTGACACTGGGATAATAGGATATATTTTTACCCATTTGTGTACGAGGATACATCAATAAATTCGTAAACTAATGCAATATCATCAAAACTACTGGTCCGTTATAAATGAAATTCTAAATGCTGTGAAAACAGATTATTTCAAATTGAATCGTACTCAACTTTGACGGAAGCACCGTATCACAGAAAATCTGCACCTTTTCACGTACCTGACAGTGATAATTTAAGTGATAAAATATAATATATCAAATTCAATACGTTTACTAGTATTATAAAAAAAATGAAACAGGAACTGGGCAAAAAAACGAAGCAAAGATCAACTTCATTCAACCTTATAATTAAGCTATTTTTAAATCATCATCAAAATTTTATGATATTTGAATATATCATTCTGTTAACAGCTTTTTTAACAGTTAGAGTATTATGCTAAATAATAAATATGTGCTGCAAATATTACTGTATGAATTTTTATAAAGAAGAAACAAACTTACTCTTCCAAAATGCATGGATGAAAAAGATATATGTTAGAATTAGATCGATTCCTTAAAGTCCTTTTTGAAAAATATTTTAGAGAAAATTAAAGGAAATTTGTATATTTTATCTGTGTTTGAAATAATGTTAAAGTGACACTAAGCATATTCTTGCAGGCAGGCAGTTAAGGTATATATACCAAATTTTACTATAAACATTTGCTGGCAATTTTTTTATTCAAATTCTAGAATATTATTGGCAAATAGATAATTCTAATGTGTCTAATGCTGATGGAGTAATACATGACTGTTATTACCTGATACCTTATATAAATGTAATTTGATTTTTTATCTGTTTTCTGAAATCCTAAAAACGTCAACGTTTGCGAACTGTTGACCGGTCAATAGTTTCGGCTGTTTCCAGCAAGTGCTCCGACGTCATTGACGTCATAGAGGATTCCCACTTGAAGCGTCCATCGATCTTGATCATAAATCAGATGTGACGTGACAAAGTTAAAATATTTAGTTTGATTATTAACATATGTGCAAAACTATTTTCTTGTTTCTTTTTTCTTCTGCAAGTACTGTTAAAACACTTATTGATCAGGTAATAAAACAGTTATTTCATATGTGATTTAGGAACAGTCTTGGTGTAGGGGATAGTGTTTTGAACTGTTTCCCTCGACATACGGCCTCGGGATCCAGTTCAAAACACTACCCCCTCCACCTCGGGCCAACAGTTTGACTGTTCCCAAATCACATAATTATGAAATAACTGTATACTAACTATTTGTTATCATTATTCACAGTGGTATTCCAGTTTTTTCGAATGCATTACTGCTGTTGTCAAGGAGAAATAAACATTGTTTAGCTGAAGAACTAAAAGGTGGTAAAGAAGAAAGCCATACTATTTCTTCAAGGATGTCATTAAGGCCAGCTCTACACAAGAAGTTTGGTTGGATGAATGACCATGTGCCGTGTTTTGGTGTTGATGGAGACAACATCACAGTTATCAATCAGCCAGCAGACTTTTATAACACTTTTAAAGTAAGATTTTTATATGCATTTATTCTTTACTTTAATATATATATATTTTAAGAATTAATAAAGTTTTGATTGCCTGATACTTTTAGAATTTGCATCATTGTTGTTGATATATAATAATGTGAAAGTTGAGCTGCTTTGAGAAATTATGTGAAAGTTGAACTGCTATAAGAAATTATGTGAAAGTTAACTGCTCTGAGAAATTACGTGAAAGTTGAGCTGCTATGAGAAATTATATGTAAAAGTTGAACTGCTTTGAGAAAATTAATGTGAAAGTTGAACTGCTATTAAAAATCATGTGAAAATTGAGCTGCTATTAGAAATGTGAAAGTTTTGCTTTGAGAAATTATATGAAAGTTGAACTTCTGTAAGAAATTATGTGAAAGCTGAACTGCATTAAGAAATTATGAAAGAAAGTTGAACTGATTAAACTGTGTGAAAGTTGAGCTACTATGAAAATTTACGTAAAAGTTGAGCTGTTGTAAGAAACTTGGAAGGTTACATGGTTACATACTTATTGTTTATTAATTTTTGATAGGTTTTGACATAGAAATATTTTGACATTTAGTTTTTGTGTCCCCATTTTAATGGGGGGGGGGGGGGATTTTGATTTACCCTAGTCCGTTCTTCCGTCAGTTCTCTTTTGTGTTGCACGTAACTCAAAAAGTATTTGACCTAAAGTCATGAAACTTAATAGGAATGTTGATCAGCATGTGCAGTTGTGCACCTGGGTATTTTCGTCTGGATTTATTCAGTATTTTTTAAGTTATTGCCCTTGACTTAGTAAAAATTTGCAATTTTCAACTTGTGTCACACGTAACTTAAAAAGGATTTGACCTAGAGTCATGAAACTTTACAGGAATGTTGATCAGCATGTGAAGTTGTGCACCTGGGTATTTTCGTGTGGATTTATATAGTATTTTTAGAGTTATTGCCCTTGACTTAGTAAAATTTTGCAATTTTCAACTTGTTTTGCATGTAACTCAAAAAGGATTTGACATAGAGTCATGAAACTTTACAGGAATGTTGATCAGCATGTGTAGTTGTACGCCTGGGTATTTTCGTGTGGATTTATTAAGTATTTTTAGAGTTATTCCCCTTGACTTAGAAAATTTTGCAATTTTCAACTTGTTTCGCATGTAACTCAAAAAGTATTTGACATAGAGTCATGAAACCTTATGGGAATGTTGCTCAGCATATGTAGTTGTGCACCTTGGGTTTCGCTTGTGAATTTATCCAGTATTTGAAGAATTATTGCCCTTGACTTAGTAAAAACCGTTTCATGATGTTGTGTTTCCTTGAGTGCTTGAGTTAGAATCAACCAACTTTACAGGAATAATGATCAACATCACTAAATTACAGGATTAATGAGCAACATCACTGTGAAGCTATGCACCTGTGACTTTGCATGTGGATTTTTTTCAGTTTTGTTAGAGTTATTGCCCTTGACTTACAGTAGTATAAATTTCCAATTTTCAACTTGTTCATGCATAGCTCAAAAAGTATTTGACTTGTAGGCCTGAAAGTTTACAAGAATGTTGGTCAGCATGTGTACTTATGCACCTTGGGGTTTGCTTGTGGATTTGTTTAGTATTTGTAAAGTTCTTGCCCTTTACTTAGTAAAAGATTTTTAGTTTTCAACTTGTGGCACATGTAGTCCAAAAAATATTTGACCTTGAGTCATAATATTGACAGGACAGTGGTTTTTGAGGGCATCCGTGTCCTATGGACACATTTCTAGTTTACGCTAAGCGATTTGACAACATATTTACAGATTTTCATTATGATAGATTTTTTTTCTTGCTTACAAAGTTCTTGTTTGTATCAATGGTATTGCATCAGTCTTGATAATGAATTAATTAGCAACAAAAATGTTGACTTCACCAGAAGGCATTTAAATGTATGTGTGTGTGAAATATTAAAGATTACTTCCTTGATGTTTATAGCCTTAAGCTTTAAACTTGTTATTGTAACATTTCTATAAGTTACATCAATGTGGAAAATATTTTGGAAATTCTAAAGTTGAATAAAAGACTAAAACTATTTGTTCACTCACTGAATCTGTTGAAAATTATAATTACTCTAACAGTATTTTTTGTTTGATTGTCCTAGTTTTTTATTACACTGAGAATGAAGATTATAAGTGCTTCTTTTGTCAGCTTTGCTAATACAGATCAGATGTGTAATACAATGTATAATTTTGTTGTGATGTAAGAAGCGCTGTTTGTTTGAATGTTTATACAGAATTTATTTTAGTTTGACTGGAGGAAGCTACAGAACACAATCTTTAATCCATGCCTGGAACCAATCAGTATTAAGCAGCAAATGCAATGTTTCTTGCTCAAGGAAACAATAACTTGCCCCTAATGGGGTTTGAACCCATGCTTCCAGCAATTCTTATATTACTAGTTTGAATTTTTAACATTTAATACATTGTGTATCAGACTGTTAATTATCATTCCTACACACCTCCTGTATTGTTTATGACTGGTCTATATATTACGGAGAGACCTGTTTAAACAAAAGATAATTTATTAGTTGGATATTCAGGCTTCGTACATCAATCTTTTATTTGGAAAGACCTAGTCATGAATTTCATTTTTAGCATAGCGCTCACAGTGCCACAGGAAATTTGTGATCAGGTCATTCCTCAACAGAAAGACTCAGTCAACATCTCGTTGAAATTATAGTGTTATTGGGTATCTACTGGTTTATTCATAAATTGTAACATAAATTCTTTGCAGTATAACTTACTATAAGAACTGTAGGATGGTATCACTTGATACATGTTACCTGATAAACACTTATTATTATTATTGTTTTTGTATGTCATTACTAGAGAGGTTTATGGTTTAAAAAAATGTTTAGAAACTTTGTAAACTTGTACATTTGGAGGCAGGCTCATTTTGCACAGAAAAATAATGTATGACCCTTAGGTATTAAATATTTTTTCATAGTTCTGTCTCAAGCCTCAGGATTTCCATTAATCAAACAGTTTATGATCATTCATATACTCGAGGTCTGAATTTGAGCAAAGAGAATTTCTTTATTTTGGGTCCTGCTTTAATTCCCCCAAAAGAAATGACATAAAACAACACTATTGACGCCTAAAACAGATAAAATGAAGACTTTAAATTTAGTTTTGATATGGAGGCACAGTATATTTTGTATATGACAAAGATGGGATACATTTTGTATTGTATTTCAGGACATGACAAGGAATGCAAAAAGACGCATTGTTATTGCATCATTATATCTTGGAACAGATCGTCTTGAAAATGAATTGGTAAGGTTGAAATCTCGACGTTTTCTTGCTTTTCAGACTGAACTTTTTGCACATGTGTAGAAAATCTTATCTTACACCCTAGGTGCTTTAAAGGAAAGCATTTGGTCACCTATGTATGAATAGTTTGCATTCTAATGGAGAAGACATTCTGCCATTAGTTTAACCATTTACCTCATATAGACGTGTTTTAACAGCTTTTCCACAAAACCCCCCCCCCCCCTTTTCTGAGGCTTCAAACAGTGAAAAACTACCCTATTCAGGCCCCAAACACTATTTTTCTTTTTGAGAAATGTTGTTAAAAAAGTGATCACTTTTTCGGCGCTGCCCCCCATCAAAAGGTACATCAAGGGGTCGCTACACGGGGAATGTGCCCTCTTCTGTTTGGGGGGTTTGAAGGGTGGCAAAATCTCAAAAATAAGGATTTGCCCATGATGAGGTTTGCACCACAGTCAGCACATCCTAAGATTTCTAGTCGGAAGGATTACCACACAGTCATGTTGCCACTTTTTGCTTTATATCTTAAATTTCACCCAAGTACTTCTTTTATTAATGATATCTTCCATATTTGGTAGATGAATACTGCAAAATCTGGCATTAATCACACATAACATGTTAACTATTACTTGAAGTTGAATTTCGATTCTTTTGACTTTTCATAAAATCTTTGAACATTTTTCTCGAGTTTAATTTCTTTAAATATTTTGGCTCATCTGGAGGCATGAACCTTTAAAGGACGATGTGGATAGCATGTGTTCTAGATAGTGTTAAATCTTAACAATTATATCAATATAATTATAATTCTAATTCTGTAAAGATATGGTGAAATTAACTCTCATTTTCAAATATGTTTGAATGCATAAAGATATTTAATTCTACAGATAAAGAGTATTGAGTCAGCATGTGAGAGAGCAGTACAAAACAATAATGACAGTTTTGAAGTTCATGTTCTATTAGATTACACAAGAGGATCAAGGGGAGTTAACAAAAGCTCTAGAACAATGTTACTGCCCCTGCTGGAGAAATATGGAGACAAAGTACAGGTGTATTTGTACCATACACCAGATTTAAGGGGATTCTGGAAGAAATTTTTACCTGAGAGGATGAACGAGATTGTTGGTTTGAATCACATGAAGATTTATCTGGCTGACAATGATTTTATTATTAGTGGGTAAGTGAGAATTTATTAAATAAACAATTGCCTGTTAATTTCATCCAATACTCAACAAGATTAGCTGAACAGTTTTTAGCTTGACTATACGAAGTATATGGAGAGCTGTCCTACTCGCCCCGGCGTCGGCGGTGGCGTACACGTCCAGATTTCAGATTAAAGTTTTGGTGCAGTAAAATATTTTTCACTATAACTTTGTCATTTCTTAAGGTATCAACTTCAAACTTCAAATATATGTTCCTTATCATCAACCACATCTTATGTGACAAGGTTCATAACTCTAGCGCCTATATTTTCAGATTTATCTCCCCTTGAACTTAGAATTTTGCTTAAAAAATACTATTTTTTTACGGTTACTTCTTTATTTCATAAGGGATAGACTTCATACTTCAAATATATGTTCCTTATCATCAAACACATCTTATGTTACAAGGTTCATAACTCTAGCACCAATATTTTCAGGTTTATCTCCCCTTGAACTTAGAATTTTCCTGAAAAAATACTATTTTTTACTTTTTCTTCTTTATTTCTTAAGGGATCAATTTCATATTTCAAATATATATACCTTATCATCATCCACATCTTATGTGACAAGGTTCGTAACTCTAGCACCAATATTGCAAGAATTATCTCCCCATAAACTTAGATTTTTTTTACTAGCAAAATGTTATTTTTTACTATGACTTTTTAGCTCACCTGTCACAAAGTGACAGGGTGAGCTTTTGTGATCGCTTTTTGTCCGGCGTCCGTCCGTCCGGCATCCGTAAACTTTTACTTTAAATGAAATCTTCTCATAAACCACTAAGCCAATTTCATCCAAACTTCACAGGAATGTTCCTTTGGTGGTCACCTTTGAAAATTGTTCAAAGAATTTAATTCCATGCAGAACTTTAAATATTTTCTTCTAAAAAACCCAAAGAGCTAGAGCTGAGATACTAAGCATTAAACATCTTCTAGTGAGTGTCTACCAAGTTTGTTGAAATATAAGCCCTGGGGTCAAAATTGGCCCCGCCCCAGGGGGTCATTGATTTTCCCTATATGCATATAGTCAAAACTTAAAAAAATCTTCTTTTAAAGGACCCAAAGAGCTAGAGCTAAGATATTTAGCGTGAAACATCCTCTAATCAGTGTCTACCAAGTTTGTTCAAATAAAAGCCCTTGGGTCAAAATTGGCCCCGCCCCAGGGGGTCATTGATTTTCCCTATATGCATATAGTAAAAACTTAAAAAATCTTCTTTTAACCCTTTCCCCCATGAGCATATCGTGAAAAATGGCCATTTTAACTGAAAAGCCTCCTCTTACAAGTTCAAACTGCTATGAAACTGTGAAAAATGCTTCAATACTAATCAAACTTGGCACAAATGTTGACTGGACCATTGCCTTTGTAACGACATGCTCAGTCTTAAATTTCCTGTTACCATGGCAACGAGGGGACATCTCAAAATTGCCAAAAATCACTATTTTGCCTCGATTTTTCCATCAAAATTTATTTCAAAGTGCTGCAACTTCTCAATGGATTGAGATAGAGTCAAAGGCTTTTCAGCGTTGGTTACACGTTACTTTATGATCAACCTGGGGTCATTTAAGCTCTCACAAGTCCAAAATTTTCTTGGCGATGGGGAGGGGACTCCGCCCCCCTTCAAACCCCCCAAACAGAAGGGCACATCCCCCTTCTGGCAACCCCCTGATGTATTATTTGGATGGGGGGACGGCGCCGAAAAATGGTCACTTTTTTTAACAACATTTCTCAAACGAAAAACAGTGTTTGGGTCTAAATAGACATTTTTTTCACTGTTTGAGGCCTCAAAGGGGGGGGCAAAAAAGCCGTCGAAAACACGCTTATATAAGGGAAAAGGTTAACAAAAAAAATGATGAAAAACCTTGGAATCACCCAAAATCTAGTTTTTCCATGTTAACATGTGGTCTTTTTACCTAATTTGTGAAAAATTGTTGTTTTGTAACATTTATATTTTTTTAGTTAACCCTTTCCCCATGAGCATATCGTAAAAATGGCTATTTTAACTGAAAAAGCTCCTCTTACAAGTTCAAACTGCTATGAAACTATGAAAAATGCTTCAATACTAATCTAAAAACTTGGCACAAATGTTGACTGGACCATTGCCTTTGTAACAACATGCTCAGTCTTAAATTTCCTGTTACCATGGCAACGATGGGACATCTCAAAATTGCCCAAAAATCACTATTTTTGCCTCGATTTTTTCCATCAAAATTTATTTCAAAGTGCTGCAAACTTCTCAATGGATTGAGATAGAGTCAAAGGCTTTTCAGCGTGGTTACACGTTACTTTATGATCAACCTGGGGTCATTTTAAGCCTCTCACAAGTCCAAAATTTTCTTGGCGATGAGGGGACTCCGCCCCCCTTCAAACCCCCCAAACAGAAGGGGGCACATCCCCTTCTGGCAACCCCCTGATGTATTATTTGGATGGGGGACGGATTGCCGAAAAATGGTCACTTTTTTTAACAACATTTCTCAAACGAAAAACAGTGTTTGGGTCTAAATAGGACATTTTTTCACTGTTTGAGGCCTCAAAAGGGGGGGGGCAAAAAGCCGTGTCAAAACGCGCTTATATAAGGGAAAAGGTTAAAGAACCCAAAGAGCTAGAGCTGAGATATTTAGCATGAAACATGTTCTAATGGATGTCTACCAAGTTTGTTCAAATAAGAGCCCTGGGGTCAAAATTGGCCCCGCCCCGGGGGTCATTGATTTTCCTTATATGTGTATAGCAAAAACTTAAAAAATCTTCTTTGAAAAAAAACCAAATAGCTAGAGTTTAGATACTAAGCATGAAACATCTTCTAGAGACTGTCTACTAAGTTTGTTCAAATAAAAGCCCTGGGGTCAAAATTGGCCCCGCCCCGGGGGTCATTCATTTTCCTTATATGTGTTTAACAAAAACTTTAAAAATCTTCTTTGAAAGATGTGAATAGCTAGATTTCAGATATTAAGCATGAAACATTTTCTAGTAAGTGTCTACAAAGATTGTTCAAATAAAAGCCCTTGGGTCCAAACTGGCCCTGCCCCAGGTGTGTCATTGTTTTTAACTGTATGTGTAAAGAAAAACTTTGACCAGCTAGACCTTAGATGTTTAGCATGAAACATCTTCTAATGGGTGTCTACCAAGTTTTTTTAAATAAAAGCCTTGTGGTTTAAACTGGCCTTGCTACGGGGGCCTATATACAGGTGAGCGACTTCAGGGCCATTATGGCCCTCTTGTTAAGGTATCTACTTCAAACTTCAAATATATATTTCTTATCATAACACACATGTTGTGTGACAAGGTTCATAACTCTAGCGAGACTATTTCTAGTATTATTCCCCTTGATCTTGGAATTGATGTTAACTATGTTATTTTTTTACTATAACTTAAAAGATAATTATACATAATTGATTTTTCTTTCATAGTTTTGTCTTTCTTACTGCGTCCAGTATTCTTTATTTTAAACTGTCTGATATATAAATTTGAATCAGAATTATTCATAAATATACACTCTAGAAATTGTTATGAGGGGTAGCAAAGGGTTTAAGTTTACAAGAATTAAAATGGCAACAAATAATTTTGCATGACCTTGTTGTTTATACATTTGTATTGATATTTCAGTGCAAATCTAAGTGATTCTTATTTCACTAATCGTCAAGATAGATATATCCAGTTTAGAACATGTCCAGAAATGTCAAACTACTTATGTGATCTCGTGTGTGCTGTGTCACGTTTCTCATTCCATCTACAGTGCAATAATACCACAGTTTATCCTGAAGGAGCACCACATCCATATGATGGTAAGGGACGTTCTATTGCAATATCTTTAGTCCTTCAATACCTTATTGATTACCTCATTCTTTAAGCAGGAAATGAACAAAATGATAGGTTTAAATGATAGGTATTGTTATGACATACTCTTCAACATTCATATTGGTTGACTTTTTAGGGCAAGTTTCTGTTTATAGTATTTACTTCATTAAAACAATACTAACAAAGCTATTAAATCAAAGTTTCATATGAAAGTGCACTTAGAAATAAAGGTCCATCTACTCACTAAACCACATGAGCTATTCTCTTGGTATACTTGTTCATTTCCAATATGTAAGGGCAGATTAATCTAAAATCATGAGATATCCTTTTTTGGACTTACATTTTATACTGTGGATAACTTTTTTGTTAAGGTTTATATCTCAAAAAACTCTAAAAATATTTACTGTGAACTAAGAGTACTTGTTCTCTTTAAAATTTGGAGTGCATTCCTAAAAGGCAGAAATTAAAAACCTTAAGGTTATTTTTGCAATATCTCCCTTTTATGTCTCTATATTTGTAATTTTCTCAAAAATCACAGATATTCAATTCATATTTTATATACTTGTATCAAGGGCATGTTATACTATCACTTCTGTTTATGCCCTGGAAGGGCGGCATATAGTTATTGTCCTGTCCAGATGTCGGTCTGTCCATCCATCCAGTAATCTTGTCCGCAATTCATCTCCAAAACCGCTTTGGGAGATCCAAAACGGCTTTGGGAGATTTCAGTGAAACTTCACAGGATTTTTTGTCACCATGCCTAGTTGAGCATACTCTCTTGATCTTCCGCTTAAATTATGTTGGCACAGTTATGGCCCCTTAATTGTCAATTTTTGAGTAAAATGAGCTTGTCCACGCTTCGTCACCAAAACCGCTGGGGGGGGATTTCAGTGAAACTTCACAGGATTGTTTGTCACCAAGCCTAATTGTACATTCTCTCTTGATATTTGCTTAATTTTTTTCCACAAATATAAATTGCCCAGTAGTGGTCTATTTTTGAGTAAAATAATCTTGTCCATGCTTCATTTCCAAAACCGCTGGGTGATTTCTGTGAAACTTTAGGATTTTTTGTTACCATGCCTAGTTGTGCATAGTATCTTGATTTTTCAGTTGATTTTTTTTTATTTTTGCACATATTTAAGCTTTTGTTTTTAATAATGCCCCATTTTATACTTTACTTTCATCATTCTATAAACCACTGAGAAAAGTGAAGCACACTGCTCCTATAACAGCTCTTGTTTAATTAAAATCTTTATATTATTGTTTATACCATAGTAGTATCGACCAAGAAGTGAACTGACAATATTGAATATTTTAAAAGATATTGCTGTATAATAATGACCATCCTTAAAAGTTAAAGCTTACTATGATTGAAATGAGTAATAGTCATTTTTTATATTTTCTGTTCCAGTAAGTATGTTGTAGAATTTATTTTCTAATTAGTTGCATCTAAAGACCATCATACAGAATATATATTGTGGTATGAAATTATTAATCACATATATGTACTATTACCCTTTCAAACAATTATTTATTTATTTATTTGAGAAAATAATATTTTTTCTAGGTTCAGAGGATGTACAAGTGTTTAAAGACTATGCTGAAGATACCATTTCAAAATTAAACTCTTTCTGGAAAGAATCAAGGGCCTCAACTCAACTTAATTCAAATGACAGCGATGTAGATACATGGTTATATCCTTTGATACAGATGGGACCATTTAAAATAAAAGATGATGAAGTAGTGACTGAACGACTGTTTACAAAATCTGAAACCCCTGATAGAATACTGTTAGCCTCAGGATATTTTAATTTAACTAGTAATTATGTAGATTATGTGATAAACAAGTCAAATGCAGTGTTTAGGATCCTCACAGCATCTCCTGAGGTAAGCTTATTTGATAATTAGACACTTTATACCTCTACACATTAACCTTATATGTATGTTTTTCAAAAATGTTGTTTGAGTATTAAGTTGCCAGTTTGACCGTATTTCTAACATTCTTAGTATAAATTTACTTAAAATCTCTTGTAGTATCTTCATTATTGACTGGAATCTTAAATATTAAATATTTCAGTGTGATTAGATCAAGGTTATTGAAACTTTATCTTAATATATAGATGTTCTAATTTTCCTCATAGGATGGTCATGTTTTTTTAGCTTTGTCAAACCATTATAAGGAAGCCTGTACAAGTGTCACTGATGTTTCTGTCTACTGATTTATTATGGACTGATTGATTTATTCTGTTGATTAAAAGTGTACATTTGGTCAGGGTTTAGCTGGTCAGTGTTTAGCCAACAATAATCTGTAACTGATGTTAGTATTAATCCATGAAGTTTACATTGATTTAAATTTGATGCCATTTGCAATGAAGAAAAAAAGGTCATCAATAGACAACCCTGTATTTTATCTGAATGCATGCTGACTTATTGTGTGGGATATGACCCGAACAGAAAATAGCAACTTAATTCTTAAGCAGATAAGTTTTGTAATCATTGCTGAGTACAACAAAATACAAGCAAAATGTCATGTTATGTAATTAATAGACATAATTAATGTTTAAAATCTAAAAAATACTTTGAGTATGGTCGGTTAAATGAAACAAGGTTATTAGGTCAATGTTTAAACAAAGAGTATTTTTGCTATCTCAGACACACCACATTAATTATGTAAAACTATTTAAATTAGGGAATGATATCATGATTTAAAAAGTCATTGGAATTAGTGTGGTAAATATTCTTTCTGCATCCATTGAAGCCTACAACAGAATGCATTAATTTATTTAGATATTGAATTTGAACTTAGCATTCCGCATAAAGACAATTTTTATTTGTACCAAGCAGTTATGTCTACTTGCAAGAAATGGGAAACCTTTAGTCAAGATGAGACAACTAAATGAGAAATACTTGTATGATATTATATGTTACTTTGTCTATTGTTATACAAACAGACAAATGGATTCTTCGGATCATCTGGGATATCTGGTTATGTTCCACATGCCTATACACAGATAGCTAGACGTTTCTATGAGGAAACATGCAAACAATGTGAGGAGGAAAGGATCTCCCTATACGAGTACTATAAACTGGACTGGACATTTCATGTAAAAGGGTTGTGGTACTATATACAACAATCCAATTTACCTGTTCTCACCTTGATTGGATCACCAAATTTTGGTAATAATTATTGGTTTATGTTTTATATTGAATAACAGTTTCAAATAATTAGATATTAGAAATAAAGTTTATGAAGTTATCAAGAAGAAACAATTCGCAGATAAGAGTTTTAATGGTTTGCTAATATTCTTTTATATATTGATTATTTATTGTAGAATGATGGAATTATCTCCTTTCATTTAGTCATCATGAGAGTTTCATATTTGTTATACTGTCTACATTCAGTTGTTTTATAAATTATCCACTCCATACCTTTATGACTATGCTGTTATAAAATGATGAATGAATAGCAATAAGTACTGAATTCACCAATTTAAGTAGATCCACATCTTTGTATCATACAAATATTGAAATAATTACTGATGATTTTATAACATGTATGTATTATAACTTTTTGGTTTTATTTAAATGTAGGTTACAGATCTATATATCGAGATTTAGAATGTCAAGTAGCTGTTTTAACTACAAATACCTCATTACAAAACCAGCTTAAACAGGTATGTTGATGAATTTTCACTAGTTTCAAAAATATGTTTCTTCAACAATATTACTAGTTAAAAGGCAGGGAAAAAAATTGGTTATATTGTTATGTAACTGGTTGTCTGTCCATCTGTATGTCTGTCTGTTAGCATTTTCATGTCTGATCTGTAGGTTTTAAACCAATAGAGGAAATTGAAACTACTCAGCAGAAATGTTAACCATAAAGAGACAACTTGCAGAGTGCAGGTTTGACCTTCATCCTGTCAAGGTCACACTTAGTCATTTGGAAATTTGAAATTTCATGTCCAATCTGTATCTTTTGAAGAAATTAAAGAAAATTAAAACTATTTGGCAGAAAGTTACTTATAACAAAATGATGTGCAGAAGCCGGGACTTGGGTTCTTCAGATTAAAATTGCCTAGAAAATGCCTAGATCTCATGATTTATACAGACTTGTATAGGGAAAAAAACATTTTTGTCCTCTGACAGTTCTTGTTATTGTGTGAAATTACAATGCCCAGGGCTTAGATATTTTGCATAAAGCATTGTCTTTAAGACCTATACAAAATTTATATTAATCTTACCTTTTGGTTAATATTGGACCCATCCAAGCAGTCACTTAATTTATATAGACTTGTTTAGGAAAATAACATAAGTCTTCATGCATGAAACTACAATGCCAAGAGCTCAGCTATTTTGCATTGCTTTGTAGACCTATAGTATATAGATAATTTATATAAGCTATGCCTCTTTGGTTAGTATTGGCCCTTCCAAGCAATCACTTGATTTATATAGACTTGTTTAGGAAAACAACATAAGTCTTAATGCGTGAAATTTAATGCGTGAAACTACACTGCCAAGAGCTTAGCTATTTTGCAAAACTGATATTAATCATACCTTTTAACGTGAAATTTAATGCGTGAAACTACACTGCCAAGAGCTTAGCTATTTTGCAAAACTGATATTAATCATACCTTTTAATGTGAAATTTAATGCGTGAAACTACACTGCCAAGAGCTTAGCAATTTTGCAAAACTGATATTATTCATACCTTTTAACGTGAAATTTAATGCGTGAAACTACACTGCCAAGAGCTTAGCTATTTTGCAAAACTGATATAAATCATACCTTTTAACGTGAAATTTAATGCGTGAAACTACACTGCCAAGAGCTTAGCTATTTTGTAAAACTGATATTAATCATACCTTTTAAGTCAATATTCGGCCTTGTCCTTGTGGACACTTAGATTCTGTATTTTATACTTTATTTATAGACTTATCTTAGGAAAACAAAATGAAGTCTTATTGTGTGAAATGCAATGTACTTGTATTTGGCATGGCATCTAGTTTTGCTTAACAGACCTCTTCAAAAGTTATATAAATCATGACCATGGGGTTAAATTAGGTTATGTTTTTCAAAGTAATTGATAATTTGATTGTGAGAATGTAAGCTACGTATTAGTGATTCATTATTCTACTGTAGTCAATATACTGGTGTACCACAATTTTATTTGTGTATCGTGAAATTTATCATCTTGTAAATGCCTGGCAATGCAAGTATTCTGTTTTATGCTAAATGAACTTGGTATATTCGTATATAACCTCTCAAAAATCTTTATGACTACAATGTAATACAACTTAAATATGTTTATAATTTAATTACAGGAACATGAGAGACTATATGGTTCATCATATAAAGTGACAGCAAAGACATTTCAACATCCAGATCGATATGTCCCTCTCTGGGTACGATTTGTAACCAGGTTTTTAAAAAATCTCTTCTGAGACAAAGGCACAATCAGCTACAGTAACAATCTCCTACAAAGAGATCTCCCCTTATCTGTACAGAGATCTCTGCCACCACACTCATTTTTAACAATATTTTGTTCTTTTATATTTTATAGTATGAATTTATTTTTCATTATTTTGTATACTTAAGATAGTTTTTTTTGATAAACACAAATGAACGTAGGTATGAAAAGTTTAAAATAAAACACAAAGAGAAAAATGATGTTAGATTTGTTATGTAATGGTGATATTTACATTTGAATTTCGATGTTATGTCATGTGACTTTCATCATCATGTGACATCTATGACGGCAGTGATTACAATCTGCCAAGGGAGGTTATCACTGTGAGGACTTTGCAACAATAATTGTACAGCTGTCTAGTTAGTTACACACACTGCCATGTTATGTGCATTATGACATGTGGAAGTAAAGCAATCATTTAGCTGAAGTTTGATTGTCTTTACTGACTGCTTGTTTATGTATGAAATACTGGTACTTAGGGTGTATTGGATCTTCCACTTGAATAATTGAATAATGTAAGAGTTGATATGATGTAGAAGCCACAAACTGGTTACAATGTGAAGTTATATTATCCAACAAACAATATATTATACATGGTTGATATATTATAGAAAAATAACTAGGAAAATTTAAGGATTTTAATATTAAAGCTGGATCATTCTATTTTGATTTTAGAATATGGGATAACTATCCGTTAGCTTCTACTTCCATATCATACTTTTGATAAAGTTTTTTTTATAGCATCCAACTTATTTTACTAATTCCTTTAAGTTAGTGTTGTAAAACTTTCAGTACTAGTATATAACCATGAACAAATTTCTGACATGGACTTAAACAAAAAAGATGTGCCCCTGTTACATTTAAGACTTTTTATTAAGTTTTTTGTACAACTCAGTTTTTTCACTATACTATTTTAGACATTGCTTAAAACTTTAATACCTGTACTTATATTTATACTCTTACAAAACCACATACCTCAGCCATAGATTTAACAAAATTTTATGCTTTTTTAGCATCATTTCAATTAGTGTTTTTGTATCATACACTGTCACACCAATCGCTAAAAGTATTGAAACTTTAATCATTTTGCACTATTAAGATTACCTCCTGTTTTAGCTCACCTGAGAACAAAGTACAATTTTTCAGATAAATTGTGATATCATTTGACCAAGTTTTTTAGTGCCATCATGCCTCTCTTGTCAATTGGAACTTAAATGATCTTTACACCTATTTTATGATTGTAGAGCCATCACTGGTTTTTAGAAAAATTGTTCATATTTACTGTCTAGCACATGTTTTCATGCATGATTTTTTGGAAATGTAAGCTGAGTGCTAATTCTTTATTTCATTTAATATGTAATTAATGAATTGGCTTATTTAATGTAAATTATGCATTAACTTTTTTGAACAAATACATAAAATTACATTTTATAAAAGTAAAACTTCAATTTTAAATGTATTTTGTTGATTTTTTGTGTCAACATGACCTCCTGTAGGCGTAAGACCATACTTCAAATGTTGTATTTTATGAATTAAATGATTTTATTTGTGTTTTATTTAAATTGAAGCTCTTCTGTGATAGTTTTGATATCTGTATGAGCATAGGACAATAAAATCATGAGACATTGTTATAATTATCTCTTATTTTATCTCACCATATGGTTGTTTATTATGCTAATTTATGTCATTAAGAAAGAATAACATTGTTTATTATATACTTCTTTATTAACATAAAATGATCATAACATGTATGTCAATTATCAGCAAAATGTGGTAGTGGTTCACAAAATATGACAGTGTATACAGGACAAATGAAACACAATATTGTTTTCATTGCTATTTATGTCATCTCGAGTATACATGTAAAAATGAAATAACTGCTGCTAAAACAATAAAGGAAAAAGCGAAATACTGGTCATTTGAAGAAAGTTTTGTTGATTTTTAATATTTCTGGTCTGTTTTGTGAAAATCGGACACATTCCAAATTATGTACTGAGCTACAACAATAAATGAACTAAGTGTTTAACATATAGCTGTGTCTGCAAAATCGTGTATATGAAACTTTCTGAACTCGTTCTACAAGTATGCTGTATGGCGTTATTTCAAGCTATTGTAAAATGTTCTCCCCTGTTGAAAACATGCTGGGTTAGTTTGATACACCTTGTTGTCATCCGGCAAGTTACACCATCTTCCTCTGGTACACTGGAAATTTTCATAAAAAAAGTTATATTTTGACTGAATACTTTCTTTCATCACAAATATTTTAAATGATGAATAGAGCAGAGCAGGTACTCGTATATAAACTTGAAACATATCTTAAATTACCATATACATGTATATCTAAACTATGCTCTTTATTCTCAAGATAGGTGTTGTGTAAAAACCAATTTACTGCATGTGGACTACACATGTCGCACATTACACAGTTTAAAATCATGTTCTGTAACACATATTTGCTTCATTTCTGCATTTGATACACAAAAGAAGTTTTAAGAGACATTATCATAAGTGTGATACAAGTAGATTTCTTTATAAACAACAGCAACTGTATTACTTAAATGTGACATGTATAGCGCATTCCGTTCCATTAAAACAATGCGTAAAACGGCATACCAGGCATACTTTGCGACTTTGGAAAGTTTAGAATACACTTCTAAGAATGTGTTTTGTACAATATCTTTTATTCGTGCAAATTAAATAGAAGCAAGGGTACATGCACAAAGTATAGTGCAGGAAGGAATATCATTATTCAGCTTTCTGATTATCTATTGATTATATACATTGACTTGGACATGGTACAAGAAAATCACTTTAGAAAAACTACAAAATCAGTAACCGAACAAATGCATAAAATAGATCTTTTTATAGGTACAATAAATAAAGTAGATGTTAAGAAATAGGTAAATAAAACAAATTCACTGTCAAGGCAGATATGCTCATTTCCTAACAATGTGTCCTACATTTCAATAATATATTAAAGCTAGCTTTTATTACCCTGGGAATTCCATTGCTTCTGTTACGTGGACAACTGCACAGATTGCAATATGTCCGTGATCTACGGACGCCTGGTGGAAGGTAAATGTCTCCTACCGCACAACCTGACAGAAACCAGGTGATAAGTTACTATAAAAATTATTGTGTGTTTATGTTAAAAAAAGGAGTTTGGTTTTGTATTTCTAGTAACTTGATTAAAGTTCTTGAGTTTCCAACTACATGTATACACAAAGTCAACAAGACCATATTCTTTCTCGCCATTGCATTAATAGTCTATGGAATTTTTTAATATATTTTATAAAAAATTTAATGTGGTTAAATCAAAGGTCTTTTCTCAACGTTCAAATATACCGGTCATCATGGTTTATATTCCCAACAGAGTGAATATGTATTCTATATAAGTATTTCCTTTTTACATTAATCAAGCTACATTCACAGCAAGTTTGTTATCCTGTTTTTAATTCTCGATTTCATTGACCAATTTTCAGATCAAACCATGCTATTAAATAAATATATTAAAATATTACCAGTAAGGCATACACATAGTGAGCCATGACAAAGTTGGAGATCTTCCCTATCCACACATTGCTCCCCACACGCACAGTCATTCCTATAGAACGAAAAATACAATCGTGATACGTAACTATATAAATGTCCCAGCTGGTTCCTGGTAATTTTAATTTGCATCAATATAATTCTGTCACCTTTGTGCAGTAACGGGTTAACTCCTTTTAAAATATTGTAAGGAGTTAACATGTTACTGCGCAAAGGTTACGTTAAAACTATTAACGACACTTAAATTATGCTTAGAAACTACGAAAATGTAAAATTGGTAAATATTATGTATACTGATTTATATAAAACCAACATAATGGGTTTGCGACCAACATGGATCCAGACCAGCCTGCGCATCCGCGCAGTCTGATCAGGATCCATGCTGTTCGCTTACCAACTCTATTACAAGTAGAGCAACTGATAGCGAACAACATGGATCCTGATCAGACTGCGCGGATGCGCAGGCTGATCTAGATCCATGCTGGTCGCAAACCCATTATGTTGGTTTTGTGGTGACGCGGCTCAATTATATGCTGATTAAATGATAACATACACATCTGAGCAAACATTGTTTTCACTTATACATCCTGACATCAAACACAGCGCACATATTGCTGCCCTTAACTGATAGTTAATAATGAACATTTTCCTCTGTTATGATATACCACAATAAATGTTCAACCAACTGGTTCAACTTGTTTCTGTCAATTGTTGTTGATAAAACCTCACAAATTGTTCTACATTGGTTGCTATTCATCTCAATTTTCAGAAAATTGTACATTGAAATAAGTGGTCTTCGAAAGGTTAAATTTAACAATATGCATACCAGTTGTACATGTAGAGATAACGCAGTAATAATATGTCATTTGGTAATCACAGTTTATAGTTGTTGGTTTTTACGTCGCTTTAACACTGTGGGTGTTATATTGCGACTTTCCATCTTTACTGGTGGATGAAGGCATCGGGTGCATTACTTCAGGCACAAACGGGCATCTGAGTAGAACCACCGACGTTCCGTAAGCTAGCTAGATAGCATCCTTGCATGAAAGTATCCAAAGTTCTTGGCGGGATTCGAACTCACCGCGGTCAGGGGAAAGGATTATTTGCTTAACCACACGGGCACCAGGTGATATTTCGATAAATGAAAGAAAACGGACAGAAGCAATTTTAAATGGAATACTGAGACATAAGTCACAATATCAATAACATTATTATATATATTAGTTAATTTACTTACTGTGGATTGCTTAAAGCTATAGAAGTGCGTAACATTTGCACAATTTTTACGTTATTTTCACATTCCTGCGCTACACGATGTAAATTTCTGTTTTTACAAGATTATGTGATGATACAAAGCAATTGTAGTATCGTCAAACCTCGAACACAATAGCCTTCCCGAATGCATATTGTATAGCTCTTAGCAAGCTCTATGTCGTGTATTTATAAAAATAAAAAAACTTGCAAACTCATTTAACTCTCTTATGGGCTTAAACGGGGCTGCTGCGACATTGTTCTCCATTTTTGTGAACGATCTAGCCCGTGACATCAACGATCTTTACTTAGGGGAAGAGAATATGCCAGAAACTATATGCATCAATAAATGCCTAATATGTGGTTATAAGAAATACCAGCATACTGATTAGAACAGCCATTGGGTAATTTCTTTGACGCCAACTCTTGCAATTGTTTGGGCCACTGGATGATTCAAAGTTTTTACAGAAGATTTGGACATATTCTGCGATTTTGGAATAGATTAATTACAATGAATGACAGACGAGTCATTAAGAATGTGTTCGGTTTTTACTACCATAAGTGTAACAATATCGGGTCTTTTGACATTAAACATGCTATGACCACGATTGAATTAGCCTCGAATTACAATTAATTAATCACATGCGATCGATTTCATTAATTAATGGCCAATTATTCGAAGGCGGTCAAAGTGTGTCAAAATTGAGAGCATACCATAACATATTTTAATTACGAGATAAGTAATTTGAATGAAAAAGAAATTATTTAACCGGAAGGATATATTGAAGAGGTTATGTAGACATTGTAATTTAGATAAAATAGATGACAAGACGCATTTCCTTTTTTAGTGTGAATTAAATATATAAAATAACGTAAACAAATCACGCTAGAAAGCCAGAAAAGTTTATGGTATCTGCCAACGCAAGCTCAATGTCGTGTTTTTGTATAAATTACAAACTAATAGATTGGTTTAACTCTCTTTTGTACGGAAGAGTATACTGACCCCCTTATATATTTTTTATGCCTTCAAGAAAAAAAAACTTTGTATAATACATATCTTTAAAAAATTGACAAGTTATATGATATCTAAAATAGATCTTGCAGAGTTTTATCTGTTATTAAACACCATAAATCACAAATATGCATTGTTTCTTCGATGATATTTGGAAATTTAAGAGAACAGAATGTTCTTCTTAACATACAGTAGCTGTACACTTTAGCCTTTATCATATGAATCTCATGAAAAAAGATGTATGAATTTATAAATTAAATTAGATTCTCTTGGTATAATAAGTCGCATCTTTTATTATAATATTAAATGGCCCTTTTCTCGTTTTGATATAAAAAAAAAACATGTATAATCATTGAAAAAGATGTAAGAAATATTTATAGTATAAGTTACTCAAAGTTTCAATACCATTTATATAATAATAATAATATATAACAGTTAAATTATAATTATATATATAATACTGGCAAGGTACTCGTGTACCGCAAGCGTGTTATCATAACGATCAACTTATTTTACGAAACATATAAAACATCATCTAAGCTAAAAACTCAGGTAAAGAATATATATATTATATATGATTATATCATCTCTATATCTGTCAAACAAATAGTGCCTCGAAAACATACTGTTTTCAAATAAATAAAAGCGTTTACTCCAAGAAAACGTCTGCTTCTTGAGGTAGAATTTCAATGAAAAGAAGAAAAAACATATTTCTTATAAATAAAAGTAAGGTCTTAAGAAAGACTTAAGTTTATAATACGTATCTTTAACAGTATAGTAGCCAAAAAACAGAAAAGATCAATATGAACTATATATATAACTTTTAAAAAACCATTACGAACTATGTTGTTATCATGTATCGTCGTATTTTAAACAGGCATATAAAATATATAAGGGGGGTCAGTATACTCTTCCGTACTTTTGGGTCTAAAACAGGGCTAGCTATTATTTGTCACCGTTGATCTCCGTTTTTTTGTGATCGACATAGCCCGGTTGCCTTATATACCTCAAAAGAAGTATATCATTTGCATGATTATAAATTTTCGCTTTACCAAAATTAACTTGAACATTTTTTCATGTATGTAATAACAAATGTAGATATTGTCATGACAGTTTGTAATGCATGTATAACTTTGAAAATCTAAGTAACTGTGTCTTATTTTTCAACCATGTAATTCTAATGTCTTATATGGAAGACTCCCTTATAATAATATATACAATATGTTAAATATAAATGCATCGTTAATATTCATTCAGAATAAGTAGTGTTGTATGTGTATACAAACGTATTTGTATATTTCTATATTCTACTTGTATACATCAATACTTATATACATATATTTAATACATTTATCCGAAGTAACTGACTTTTAATTGTGATCATTTTATCTCTAAGTTCATCTTCATTACATCAAGATTATGTATAAACAGTACTTTTATAGAAATTCAGTTTCATTTTATTCGAGTTTATTACATGCATACATACTTTTTCATTATTAAGTAATATGTACATGTATATACAATGTAGTTAATATACAAGTAAATTGTGTTTTTATCATTTGTATATACTAAGCAATAACTAGTCCAGTATAAATTAAACAAACGAATGACTTTTCAGTTTCCAAAATTTAAAATTTGATAAAAAAAATCTTGAAACTTCTAATAATAAAAATATAAAACCTTGTTCGAAATTATGTATTTTAAGTCGATTTCTACAAGTATATTATTCTTCTTACCATATTTTTTCTAATTGTCATTATTGTTATAATTTTTATTATTATTATTATTATTATTGTTATTATTATTATTATTATTATTATTATTATTATTATTATTATTTAATCAACATGTTTCGTGGCAATGAGTGCAAAGTATCTATATGAAGATATGGTTCACAGAAAAGCACAACATATGATATAACATATGAAGTTATACGGTCAAATTACTAGTTCAAATATATGGTATAACATATTTATCATCTCTTATTGTTTAAACAGAACAGGACAGAATAGAACCTTATTTTATTTTGACTTGTACATAGTACATAATCATACATAATGTGATATACATTGATAAAAACGCATAAACAATATAAATACAATACCAATTTTTAATGAATTAAAATAAACTTAAACAGTGAAGTACCTTAATTGCAAATTTGAGTAATATAATTATTTATTTTGCTAAATTATTTTTTTATCTCGCACAAATGATAATATATCTTTACCTCTTTATATTTTTTCTTAATTCATATTAATACAAAATTGTAATATATTTTGTAGTCCAATGGATGGCGGGGTTTTATTGCAACTTCCTGTATCATAAAAACAAACATTGCCATTGTAAAACATATTGTTTGTAGTTTCTGAAAAATGAACTGATGTTTTAGTCTATTTTTAACAATTTCTTAAACTATGGAAGAAAAGTGGCGACATTATTAATCCAAATCTAGTAATTTACAAACACTATTCATCCATGGGAGTTTCAATACATTTCTACAATACAAAGAGTGTGACATATCATACAAGATATGGCTTGTATGATATATCACACTCTTTACCAGTACTGGTTGGTTCCAGGAAGCGGATTCGAAAGTGATTAACATAAGTTGCAAGAACTTGTTTCGCAATCGAGCATAAATAAATGTGTTTAAACCAAGATATGGCTTATTGATTCTTGTTTGCTACTTAAAATCTTATTCCAAAAGCACAAAACTCTACTTTTTATATGAATACATAAAGGTTATATCCCTTAATCTCCATAAAGCATACTTTGTTTCAAATTTAATATGAGTTTATAAAATTTTAATTGAAATCTATCTATGATATTCACATTTTCAATTCCCCACACTTCGCTACCATATAACAATATAGGTGCTACCATGCTATCAAATAAATGAATTTGCATACTGATGGGTAGATCCAATTTTCTAGCCTTAACTATAATTGAAAACATAGCCTTTCTTGTCTGTTCTAATAAATGATTCTTTGTTTTAGCAAATTTACCATTATAAGAGAATTTAACACCCAGATATGAAAAATCATCAACAATTTCTAGCAAATTACCTTCAAAGCTAAAGGCTGGAATATTACATAAACCTCTTTTACTTTACAAAAAACAACAATTTTAGTCTTACTAGGATTAACTTGTAAATGCCATAACTGACAATAATTTGACATTGCATCTAGTGCTTTTTGCAGTTCTTCAGCAGATTCAGCAAATATAACTGTGTCATCAGCATATAAAAGAATATACAACTTAAAATACATTTCAACATCAGAATCACTCAGGGTATCATTTACAATGTTTGATAGTAGATCCAGACCATTAAAATGTTGTGACAGAAAATAGTTTAAATCATTTAAAAATAAAGAAAACAATATGGGAGATTTCTGCCAAAGTGCAGTTTTATTTATGCTATCAAAAGCCTTTCTATAATCAATAAAAGAACAATATAACTTTTTACCTTT